CAGAGGGTGGATGCCTCACCAGTTCCAGGTTTCCCGGTCTACTCTTGTGAATGGTGCAGGTGAGTTTTCTTCTTCTTTATGAAGTAATTTTCCCTTGTTGTGAGGCACTCATATTTGGGTTTAAAACCTTAATTATCCTCTTTATGAATTTTCCGATCTTTGAAACTTGACTGAAAAATTTACTATGGATACTGTATGTGTCTGAAGTGAAATTCACTTGTGATGTGCTTTTTCCATTGCTCCATCAGCATCATGTCAAGTTAAGGTGTTATCATGCAATAATTTGTTATCATGATAGGAATTAGCCAGCAACCCTCGCTGCAAAATGTAGGTGTATTGAAGGGGGTAATGACAGTTTTACTGCTACAGAGAAAAAACAACACTACTAGATCAAATTATTTCTCATCTCTTTTGAAAACCTTCTCTTAATTGGCTGTCAGCTGCTTAGTGATTTCATTTTGAATTGTAAAATTAAATACATGTTAAAAACATTTTTTCTCAATAATTTGAGTTTTTTTGGCTATTTTTTTTAAAATCGGGTACAATATACTCTGAATGTGAAAATTACATGTAATCCCTCAAATCCTCTTGAAAACATAAGAAATAACATTGTTAGTCAGTTAATTACATATTTTATTTCAATAGTCACTTTAAAAAGTCAATATGAAGTTAACTTTCAATACATCTTCATATCACGGTTGCGTTCGTTTTGTGTAGGGGGGTTACATTGAATAGATAGTCATAATTTACATGTTTTTACATGTAATTTCTTCATGTTACATATTTTAAATGTACTATATACATGTTATCTGAAAATGTCAAATTGGGCACTTTTTCACTTTGTTATCCATTTGGTTATAGGAAGAACACCAGAATTGCCTAGGTAGAGGGGGCCGCCATTTTGGACACCCAAAGTTGTGCGGAGAAGAAAAGCTGACAGGAGTCCTGATTGGTCATTAACAGAAAATCTTTGTGGTGGAATTCGACAGTGAAATATAAGTGATAAAAATTATATGTGACTTAACAGAATGTGTAAAAAAAGATATAGGACTTATAAAGGAAGACTTGAGATGAGGGGTGATATTTTGCTGGACAATTTCATTCAGTGCGAATCTATACCAGTTGTAAACAGGCCAAAATTTAAAGGATAAACACAATGGCATGATATATTTTTTGTGGTGGAATTTCGAAGAAGAGGTGTTGAACTTTGCTTCACAGTGACTGATTTTTTGAATATTGATTATAAAAATAAGTGACAGTGATTGGAATTTGTATGGAAGTCTATGGGAAAACATTTGTTGGTGTTTGTCCAGGTATCAAGAAAGTTTCCAAAGGAAAATGGCTCAGCAAAACATTGTCAAAATAAAAAAGAAGTGAGCTTTAACAAATGTGTAAATACTGAAAGTTTGTGTCAAAAAGACCCCCCTCCCCCCCAAAAAAAACACTGTCGTCGTCTGCTAGGCGGCCTGATGAACTCTAACAGAGCGAAACAGTGTATTTTAAAGCGTTATGTGATAAAATAAAGAGCTTACAAAATTTATAATTTTTTTTTCATGTCTTTAATGTTCATTAATCACATAAATCTACCATTGGTCACTGGTAGGTGTAATTGGTCAATAAATAATATTAATAATACCAAAGATAATTGATTATTAACATTAGAGTAATTTTAGTCATTTTTTCTGGCGTGTTTTAGAAGAGATGACTTAAAATTGATTTCACAGATATTTTGTACTATACATGAATTAAATGACTGTCAATATTTTTGGAGGAACTTGTATTAATTATGTTGCCTGTTTTTCTATACAGAGAATAAATATGGAGACTATTATTTAATGAATATTACAATATATATATATATATATATATATATATATATATATATATATATATATATATATATATATATATATATATATGTATATAGATTATCCAATAAAAAGTCTCAGTGGTCAGAATAAAATACTTAACATAAAGAAGAAAAACACAAAAAACCTCAGTAAAGCTTTAGGCCTTTCATTCTATCTTCAGAAGCTTTACAAAATAAACAACAGTAGTTACATAGTAACGTTACACAATGATACGCGGAGTATATGATGTCGTAATTGTGAAGTCAAATGTACTATGACATCATAGTCAATTGCTCTTTGCGTTCAGGTAAAAAGTTCGGGAAAACTTCAATAAAAATACAGATATACATATGCATGCATCATTAAATTGATATATATACTAAATCAGATTGTTTAGCTTTGGTTTCAACGTACAAATAAAATGTTTTTCTTTTTGACGTCTACAAATATCATTTCCTCCTGTTACTTTATAACAAGGAAATATCTTAAATTTCTTTTGTCCACACACTTCTAAATGTTCACTAAGTGGTATCTGTCTGTATTCTGGCTTGTTGATATGCTGTTTATGAATATGAACCCGAGTACGGAGCGTGTTACTGGTCTCGCCAATATAATATTCACTACACCCTGGACAGGTTATAACATATAAAACATTTTGAGTATCACACGACATATTGGCGTTCACTGTAAATCTTTGGCCGTTAAAGTTATAACAAGTTCCTTCAGTTAGATGGTCGCAGGTTCCACATCGAGGATTTTTACATTTAGTCACTGAATAGTTTTCTTCAAAATTAGAGTTACATAGTAGTCTTTTCAGGTTCTTTGGTTGACGTCTACTTGAGATAAATTGTACGTTTTCATAAATTGGCTTTGTTGTTTGGTCCTCTTTGAGAATGGTGTTCAGTTGGTTAACAATGGAGTTGATGTTCTGATTCTGAGGATTATGAGTATGTACAAAGGGAATAATATTCTCGTTATCCTCACGTTCTTTGGTTAATAGTTATTCTGATCTTTCATGTTCCTTGGCTTTAAGTATTCCATTGTCTATAAGTTGGACTGGGTATTTCTGTTTTAAAAGATAGGTTTTAAGTTCACATAAACGAATGTCCCTTGTATCTTTTTCACTGACAATGGCGCATATACGTCTGGCGAGGTTATAAGGAATGGATGTTTTGGTATGATGTGGATGACAAGAACCAAAATGTAAGTATTGGTGTGTATCCGTCACTTTGTAATATATATCAGTAATGATCCTTTTGTCCTTTTTAATAAGGAGAACATCTAGGAATGGTAATTGATTTTCACTGGTATCTATAGTAAATTTGATGTTGGCATTCAATTCATTTAATATTTTATGGAAGACTTCTAATTTTTCGACACTTTCATCCCATAAAATAAAGCAGTCATCCAGGAATCTTTTCCATTTAGATTTAAGGCTGCTGGCTATATCTTCTCCCCATAAGGTTATGAGTTGTTGGTTAGTTTGTATTCTAGGTAACCTAGGGTAAGTGTTGCGTATGTTGGTGCAACTTTTGTTCCCATGGCAGTTCCTTTAGTTTGTAAAAAATGACTATTACCAAAGGCAAACATATTATTTTGAAGTACTATTTTATTTGTACGTTGAAACCAAAGCTAAACAATCTGATTTAGTATATATATCAATTTAATGATGCATGCATATGTATATCTGTATTTTTATTGAAGTTTTCCCGAACTTTTTACCTGAACGCAAAGAGCAATTGACTATGATGTCATAGTACATTTGACTTCACAATTACGACGTCATATACTCCGCGTATCATTGTGTAACGTTACTATGTAACTACTGTTGTTTATTTTGTAAAGCTTCTGAAGATGGAATGAAAGGCCTAAAGCTTTACTGAGGTTTTTCGTGCTTTACTGAGGTTTTTCGTGTTTTTTAAGTATATATATATATATATATATATATATATATATATATATATATATATATATATATATATATATATATATGTTAAGAGCGTCTTTGGTGAATATATCCATCGGGAATTTAATGTCCCCTTGGCAGAGTTATCCCGAATGTCCCCAAAGAGCGACTAATAATCTATGTGTGTCTGGATGAGCAATTAATGTTCGAAGTATTTTGAACGTGTAAGATCTAGAGGTGCAAGTTGACATTGAGGATAACCAATTACTTAAAGAATGCAGTCATTATGTGGAAATAGAATAAGAGAGGTATAGAAATATTCTGAAAAATGACAGAATATGAAATTTTTCTAATTACAAAAGGTATTCTTTGTATATGGAAAATAAAGTCCACTCTATGGAATGTTGTGATTTATTACATTTTCAACAGTGAAATAGTGGGATTCATTTATTGAATAAAAGTGATATTCTCTCACAGTGTGAAAGGATACCAAAGTGATATTCTCTCACAGTGTGAAAGGATATCAAAGTGATATTCTCTTACAGTGTGAAAGGATATCAAAGTGATATTCTCTTACAGTGTGAAAGGATACCAAAGTGATATTCTCTTACAGTGTGAAAGGATATCAAAGTGATAGGATATCAAAGTGATATTCTCTTACAGTGTGAAAGGATATCAAAGTGATATTCTCTTACAGTGTGATCAAAGGATATCAAAGTGATATTCTCTTACAGTGTGAAAGGATACCAGAGTGATATTTTCTTACAGTGTGATCAAAGGATATCAAAGTAAGTAAAATATAATTTCTGGCCTGTAATAAGATAGAGATAGTAACTAAACCATCTTGATAGAGATTAAAACTGCCAATTTCTTCCAAAATATGTTGCTAAAATCCATATTACAATGTTTTTCATCTCACAACTGCTAAGCCTTGACGTCTCAAATGCTCAACTATGACGTCACAGCCTATTACATTGTGTTTTAAAAGCAAAGACAGAGGCAAAGGGAAAATCATCGAAAATGTAATAAATAGAAAATTCAATGTTTTGTAGTTGGATATGGAATTTATTTCACGAGTGGGACAGGATTTTTTGATATTTTCACGCAAACACGTCCTGAAGACGTAATTCGTGAAAATAGTAGCACTCGGGATCGAGATTCCGAAAATTCCATGAGAATAATTCGCCAAAAATTTTAATGGATGATTCATCTAATTCTTCAAACTCCATTTTGTCACCATGCTCATCCCCTTCAGCATCAGAACTAATGCGGAAAAGGGGAAGATCATTAAGATCAAGCTCAGGCGAAGACAGTTACACGTCCGGAGTGAAATGTGGGAGGTTTTGCTGAAGACTATGTTTCAGAATGGGATATTTGTAGATTAGAATCTTTTGGAATCTTTTATGTTGGAAAAGCAACAGAATTGTCTGAGTTATATGAATTAGCCCTGAAAGACTTGTATTTGGTACCTAGGTATCAAAGTTAAACCGAGTCCGTAGGACAATATCATTTTAACGATAGAACGTTCTATCTAGGTATCAAAGATCATGCTGCATTGTGGTCTAATCTGGAATTTCTGGTGGAATCAACGAAAAATTGCTTGCAGAGCTTAGACATCGATGAAGAATTTTCTGAACTTGATTCAATGGGTCTATTTGTTGTTGTAAAAGAAAGCGAAAAATGTTTACAAGCAATAGCAAAAATTAAAGAGGAAATGTCAACAAAAGGATCTACATCATCAGTGGATTATCTCTCCTGGTATGATTTCATTTATAATAGTCTTTTACTCTTTGTTCTGTATTCTATATTTCACTGAAAGGGGGGGTTATTTATTATTGAAATTTTTAAATTGACATTTGTTCTGACAAAGTTAATCGTACTGTGTGAAGTTTTGTCAGACCAGTTACATGCACTGAAAGGAAAATAAATAATTGCACTAAATTGCCCTTTATTGTTTTCAACAGCATTCCCATCTCACAATTTTCTTTTCTTTATAAGGACAGAGAGTCTTCAAGGGTCCTCCACATACACCCAGTTTATATTCTCATATTTCTGAGCATTACTTTTAACAAGCATATTTATCAACCTATAAAACTGGCTAGGAATTGAAGTATAATTAATTTAATTTATACTGATTTTTTTTTAGTTTAATTTTTTAAGTTTTAAGATTTTTTTTCCCATCAAGTTTTGATAAATAGCACAACAAATTTTGTTTTTTTTTTCGTGGCAGATATTTTTAAGCTCACAAAACAACCATGAGAACTTCATTTTATCAATCAACATTTTTTTTTAAAGAAATTAATAAAAGTTCTAAAAAAATCAATACATGTATTACTCATTTTCTCTAAAATACATGCATGAAAAATTAGGGAAGATTCCTGGTAGTATACATGGTATAGAAGAAACATTAATGAATTAAATTACTACAAGAAATCAAATAAAAATCAATTTTATTGATGTAGAAAAATCATTTTCAAAAATGTTCTTTTTCAGATTTATCTTTCCTGTTACATTTATAGAACTTAAAAACTTTGGTAAGTTTACACACATGTCATCATACTCGTGTTACACATTATTTGCAACTCTGAACATCTCTATATCAGTGAGCATACTCGTGTTACACATTATTTGCAACTCTGAACATCTCTATATCAGTGAGCATAACTAGAAATGCACACTATCAATATTTCTGAACACATAATGAGATAGGTATTACTGAAATGCACAAATCAGTCTGCAAAAATAACAACTTTCACAACAGACTTTGTTGATGATATCACAACAGATTGATTAGCCTGAAAGTGTAAATGAACTAAAACGTTTTCTCATAGATATATACCTGTTATTTACAAATTATTATGCTACAAAAACTCAAAGGACTGCTGTTTTTTTTTTAATGATTTATTTCTTTTGGTCATGCCGTGATCATGCCATGTGTCCATTGTTTATGTGATTAGGGTGTCACTCTCAGTTTACTGCATATTTTTCACTTGAAAAACCTTCATCTTCAAGTGTGAACCAAGCCGGGCACCACGTTAAATCGAAGATTGCAACTGTCGTACCTTCACTCCTTTTTTATGTAGTAATATGACATTTTTAAAACTTTCTTATTTCAGAGATTTTTTTTTTATTCTTATGTTATCGAGTTTGTTCAGATACAGCTAGAAAAAAAACCCATAATACACAGAATACACCATCCTGAAACCAAGCGCCTATGGAAAAAAGAGGAACTTGCAATGGCATATTAAAATGATTTTAATAATATTGATCATTTGTTTCACTTTCAAAATTTCAAGATAATAGCTGCAGTTAAACTCAGTGTTACATGTGAACTCAGTCTTCAAAAGTATTAGGAGTTACGAGTGATCACCTTCACATTAAACATAAAAAACCACATGAAAAACCATCACATGAAAAAACACCTTCACATGGAAAACCACCATCACATAAAAAACCACCATCAAATTAAAAAACCACCTTCACATGAAATAACCACATAAAAAAGCACCACTTTCATATAAAATAACCACAGCATAACATAAAAAAGCACCACCTTTTCATGAAATAACCACATAAGGCAGCTATGGCGTTCCATACAGAACTGTAGCATTATGGTTTTATATTTTAGTCTTTGACCATAATGCTACAGATCCCATAATGTAAATAAAGTGTAATTTACAGCGCAAAATTTTCTGCGCATTTTCTAGACATATTCTATAACCAAACTGTATATTTTATCCACCACCATTTATAGTCGTCTCTACAGACCAATAAACTCGCTTGTTGCAAACTTGTTGTCAGATGGCATAATGAGTAGAGTGGAAAGAGTGCCATGTATTGCATTAAAAATTTCCAAACAATTTAGAGGAATTTTCTAACCCCTCCTGAGTTTTAACAGTCAATGTTTTTTTTCCTGGCTTATCATTTTTTTTTTGGTGGCTGCCCCTTACCCCGTTTGATAAATGTTGCTACAGGCCTGTCTTGTGTTGATGACTCCCTCACACTATGATCCTCAAGAAAATAAATTACTTATTAGGTTTGTTACTGACTGTCTACAGAAATATATCAAGTTGATCAATTCAATAAAGAAAAGATTTTATTACCAATTCAACATATCGTGATACATATCGTATCGTGGCTCAAATATTGTGGTACGTATCGATACAGAAAAAGTTGTATCATCCCAGCCTTACTAATATAGGAAAACATTAGTAATCCAAGGTAAGTTTTGTAATTTAATTAATACTCCTGAGAACATATTGGTAGTCATACTTGAAGAAAAAATGCATATTGCGAATATTGAATATATTTACTTTAATAAGCCTAGGAATTCATTATATGATAATAAGGAATTAGGGAAATAGTGAAGTAAATTCACAAGTCCCCACGACTTCGCTGTGACCAAGTTTTAGTGTACAATAACTGTTACAGTTATATAATTTATCATTAGTGGTCAAGAGTTTCACCACAGTCTAATATAATTTTAGTGTCTTTTTACATGAAGGTGGCAGAGGATAGTATCGGATTAAGTACCAGTCAAAAATTAGAAAAAATAGAGGAACCTTAGGTTTGAATGTATATTATTAATAGGTAATTTTATTGCTAGAATATTTTATGTGTGCATTTGGAGGGAATTGGTGGCCTTGTATATTCTAATGATATATGACACTTTAGTGTCACTACTACTGTTAATGGGATATGGACTAGAAATATGAAACTAAGATCAAAAATCACTCTTCCGGTATTTCACCAGAAAAGTGGGGTGGGTTCATAGGATGAATTGTAGCTTGAAAACGAGGTGGTTGAGCCATTATCTCTTGCTGTTCAATGGTTACTATGTACAAGTGTTGGTCTGCAATTTGTGTGGTAGCTTACGGCATTAGCACGGGCCTGGAAGCAGTTGCGGATCCGGCGAAATAGTGAAAATAGGCTTAATTTACATGAAATTTTGAGATTGTCCCTGTGCCATCATTAGGGCTCATTGTGTAAGTTGTACATGTTTTATTCCTAAAAGCTTCAAATTCCTAAAGGGACTGGACCATACTATTATTACATGTAGAGAGAATTTAAAATTTTTCAATGGACATTTGAAAAGCAGCTCAATATTAAGGAAACTGTCAGTCAAACGTTTTGATTGCCAAAAAAAAACTGTAATCCTCTGCCACCTGAAAGATAGTCATCCCAGAAGAAAAGCAGACTAATAGAAAACTAATATCTATCCTCATTTCAATATCAACCTAAAAAAAATTCATTGAATCTTGCATTTCATCATGTTCATACTATATTTTCATATACTTTATTCGTGACTTAACGGTAATGTAAAATGATTTTTATTTTTACAGGCACATTTTTAGCATTTGGCATACTGGAATTTTGGAGTACGTTGAGTATTATTCTGACCTAATAAAAGAATTGAGGTTTCGTGGAAGATGTGGAGTGGAAGGGGAATTCAGTCAGCTTCTAATATTCTTCAGCAAGATATTCCTGTTGAATGCTATGTGAGTTTGTGTAATGCTTGAAACAAATTCAAAATTTAGTTAAACACTTTTGAGGCATATATCTTGTATATGTATGTTTCTTTTTAGCTCACCTGTATTGAAATCGCTAGTGACCTTTTCTGATCAGATTTTTTGGTGTCCATCTGTAAATTTTTCACATTTTTAACTTCTTCTCAAGAACCACTGGGCCATTTTCAACCAAACTTGGGTGAAAAGCAGGGCATAATAATAATAACCCTTGCATCCAGGTTCAGTAAAAGGACCCTGCCCCAATTGAAATTTGCTTTTTCCCCCAAAATTTTGAGTGACTCAGGTAATTAACTTAATTAAGGTCTTCCGTCTCCACGGAAGACCTTATAGTGATTCTATTGTTTCTTATTATTATTATTATTATTATTCTTTTTTTTTTAGACAAAATTTTGTGCACGCGATTTCTCGAAAACTATTCAATGAATTTCCTTGAAATTTTCAGGGATAAAAGGTGTTTATATGAATTTTATATAAAATTCCGTTTTTTGGTAAATTCGGTTCCAGTGCCAAGTTATGGACAATTTTCTGATTTTAAAATGAAATTTTGTCCTTGAGTGTTCTCAAGAATGGCTTAAGATATTAACTGGAGACTTGTTAGAGATGATAGAACATGATTTCTAGATTGGAGAGGGCACCTTTTCGTTCGTCGTCGGCACTTCCGGTCGCCTACGGAAGTGATCAAAGAAATCATTAAATTTCAACTTTCCTTTTTTAAATCAATTCTTACATCACATTATTGCATCTCTTTTGTAGTTCTGAAATATGTTGGTCCCACCGGAAACAGAAACGTCAACTTCCGGTTATAAGAGAAAAACTACATAATTTGAGTATTTTTCTTTCCCATTAATATCTTTTGTAGATAAAGTATTTGGAATGATTTTAAAATATGTTATTCAGACAGCAAATGTCTAGAGTAACCTTAAATATCTTTCAAAAATTCACTTCCGGTCGCGTGTTTTTCTGTCCTAAAAATGAGAAGTTTTCTGAGCAAGATCTCTGAAACGGTAAGAGATTAAGACACCAGACTTATATGAGCAACAGACCTTAAGATGTAGCCATAACCACTTGGGTTCAGAGCGTCAGCCGTCACTTCCGGTCGTCACAGGAAGTGATCAAAGAAATCGAAAATTTCAACTTTTCTTTTTTTATTTAAAAAATGCATCACTTTATTGCATCGTTTTCGCAGATTCGAAAGATGTTGGTCCCACCGGAAACAAAAACGACAACTTCCGGTTATAAGAGAAAAACTACAAAATTTGAGTATTTTACTTTCCTATAAATATTCTTTATAGATAACGTATTGGAAATGAATTTTAAATATGTTATTCAGACTGCAAAGGTCTAGAGTAACCTCTAATATCTTTCAAAAACTCACTTCCGGTTGCGTGTTTTTCTGTCCTCAAAATGAAAAATTGTCTGAGCGAGATCTCAAAAAACAGGTAAAAGATTAAAACACCAAATTTTTATGAGTAGCAGACCTTGAGGAGTAGGCAAAACCATTTTGGTTAAACGCGTCTGCCGTAACTTCCGGTCGTCACAGGAAGTGATCAAAGAAATAAAAAAATTTAAGTTTTCTTTTTTAAATTAAAGTTTGCATCACTTAATTGCATCTCTTTCGCTGTTTTGAAATATGTTAGATTCCACCGGAAACAAAAACGTCAACTTTCGGTTTTAGGTGATAAACTACGTTATTTTGATATTTAACTTTCTCAGAAATATTGCTTATCGATAAAGTACTTGAAATGATTTTATTCATTTTGTAGATACTGCAAATGTCTAGAGAAACGTCAGAGATTTTTTTTTATAAAATCACTTCCGGTCGCCTGTTTACCTGTCCTCAGAATTAGAATTTGTTCTCATAATATTGCTCGGCAACAGTAAACGACTGAAGTCTAAAACTTTCAGAACTGATAGTCAGTCATCAGTTTATTTGAATCGCCAGGAAATCATATCGCCGTTACTTCCGGTCGTGACAGGAAATGATGAAAAAAAAGTGAATGGTTATTGGTTGGCACGTTTGATTTTCACGCTGACAACCAGGGTTAAATCTCCAGAGTGTCTGAATTTCTTTTGTCACCTTTTCAGCTTCAATTTACGTTTTCATTTTCAGAATCGGACGGAAGACCTCTCATTGCTCGCAATGAGTTTCTAGTGCTATCTGTTTTCCTCCATTGCTGTGCATCCTCGATCATCTAATGTACGTTAACATAATGAACATTTTTAGCTTCTTTTCTGGGACCCTGAACCATTTTCATCCATTCTTGGCATATAGCATCTATGGGTAAAGGGAAACTTAAAAATTGTGATTTTCATGGTCTTCTTTCTCCAGAGACCTGAGGCTAAAACCATCAAAATTAATTCTATCTTAAAAAAAATGTCTTCATTACTTGACATCAAGCAGTCATACTGTTAACATGATTGTACAGTAATAAGCATTGTGAAATTCATGAGTTAGGGGTATTAGAGTTGGATGGGCTCTATTGATCATATATTGAAAATCCATAATTTCTTTAAAAAGCTTCTCTTTGTTTCCCTGTATATCATGGTATATTGAACAGATAATGTAAGTACCTGGTTGAGATGTGCAAGTGCCTCTTGCAAAATTTTATGGCTCCTGGGTCAGTGGTTCTGGTTATAAGGCGGGGCTCTATTAATCATATAGTAAAACTGTATTTTATTTCTTTGAAAATATTTTTCTTTGCTTCTGGGTAAGCAAACCAGTGCATGGTTATGATTAAAGTTGTCTCTTCCAAATTTGTGTATTTCATGACCACTGAGTCAGGGGTTCTGGAGTTAGGCCAGCACTCTGTTGATTATTTAGTGATCTGATGAAACTAAATTTTTTTTACAGTAGACATAATTAAACTGTACTGATTGGAGTTTTCTGATAATTGCTTGCTAACTGCAATAACCATGATAACAGTGCGTTGTGAAACCTGACCTATATTGTTGGCCAGGTAGCCGTATACCAGATACAGTAAAACTCGCTTATAGTGAACACGCTTATAATGAATTGACGTTTACAGCAAAGCGATTTTCATTCGCTGTGTTTTTTTAAAAATATTTTTTGAACTTAAAGAATATAATGAATTACATTTATAATGAAGCAAAATCATCCATTCCTGGCACTTCGTTATAAGCATGTTTTACTGTATATGGTACATTGTGTACCAGAATATGTCCAGAAATTGCCATAATCAATAATTTGGTACGCCCCAAAAATATTGAAAACAATACATTCTTTCTTATTTTATTGCATTCATCGGGATGTACATTTATTGAACTCATGCATCCTCTGCAAAATTAGTGCATAATTTACCCAGGATGCACAACAAAATGAATCGCTGAAAATGAGACAAAAAATACCACATCTTGTACAATAAATGATCTTCAATGACCAAGAGAGGCCAATGTGAAGGGATGTGTGATGGGTTTAGGTGCTCAAGCACAATTGTTTTGTTTAGACTGCATGGTGATAGTGATAAATGGGAGTGCAAAAGCTTTGACAAGTAAGGGCAGGTAAATAAATCTACTTTATATGTAACTGAATACTTAAATAACTATTTTGTTGATCCCTGATCATCCTATTTCTTCTGGACAAAATATCTTCATCTATCAGTTTATTTTGTTGTATTCATACTATGGACCATTTACATTGTTGTATTGTACTCAAGCGACCATTAAGGCCCTTTGGTCTCTTGTTTCTCAGTATTGAGTAAATACTCATCTGTAGCAGGAATGAATTTTGTTATATAAATTTATGCCTTGTATTTTAAATGTAATGTTGTTATAAATGTTTTCATACATATATTTGTATACTGCCTTATTCCCCATATCATTTGTTTATATTTACAAACCTTCTCAGATAATAGCACGTGTTGCTTCCATCAAATCTAATGGGTAAATGTTTACGTTTGATGATCTAAATTCTCATTGGCTATCAATACGGAAGTTAACCTTTTGGGTGTTACTAATTTCAGTCAAAGTTCATACCCTTGGGCTGTATTCACTAGATTTTAAGGTCAAGATCTAGTAAATGACTTTAGACTAACTTTTTGGTGCTAGATCCATTATGACGTCATAATCAATTTACAACTTTCTTTTTCCCGTAGTTTACAGCTGTAGTAGAATTTTGTAGAAAATAAAGTACTTTCACGGAATTCAATTTGAAATCATGTGAAAAGTAATCCCGATACCTATATTCAATTTGATATTATTTTAAAGAAGAGGCCAAGAACATACAAATTATCGTTTTCTGAGAGACTGTAGGCAATCTGGATGCATTTCTTTGTCTGATATGGAAAAAAAACTCCCATATTCATGACTGATTTTCTTAATTTTTCACTGAAAATGACAGTTTGAAATATGATTTTTCGTCTTGTTCATCTACAAATTATGCCCCGAAACACCTTATTTGACCAAGCTAAAGTTATAAAGCACCATTAAAGGAATTTATTTCTTAAATTTGAGAAATCTGTAGGCACCTTTCGTTTACTAGATCTTGACCTTAAGTTAAAGTTTCTATTGTTTCCTAAGAGTATATAAACCTGTGTAACTGTTAGACACGTGGGGAAGCTTGAAAAGCATTAATTTGCTGTAAGTTCTCTCACTTTAATAAAGGTTTATTAGGTATATGTTAGTTAGGATATTTCTATATAAATAAGGGGTTTTTAGCTCATCTGAGCCGAAGGCTCAAGTGAGCTTTTCTGATCGAAATTTGTCTGTTTTCTGTCATTGTTGTAAACTTTTCACATTTTCATCTTCTTCTCCAGAACTACTAGGCCGATTTCAATCAAACTTAGCACAAAGTATCCTTGGGTGAAGGGGATTTAAATTTGTTCAAATGAAGGGCCACACCCTTCTCCAAGGGGAGATAATTATGAAATAGCAAAAAATTAATGGCATTATTATTAAAAAATCTTCTTCTCAAGAACTAATGGGCCAGGAAAGATGAAACTCATGTGGAATTA